GCGGGGTGCCGATGATCCCCGACTGCTAGGTGTCGACCACCCGATCGGTCGGCGGGTTGGCAGCCGACCAGTCAAGGGCCGCTGACCGTCGGGGTGTGCAACACAGGCCTGGGCCCTTTTTGGTTGGGCACATACAGGTAGCCGTCCAGGCTTCAAGTGTTGGCCGCATTCTCGTTGGCTCGCGGAGACTGTGTGGCGACAATGCTGCTTTCTCATTTGTCCGTGGCCGCTGCGTGATGTGTCGGCCTCTCACACTGCGTGTGCCCAGGGCGCGACCACCCGGCCCTGGGCTCAACTGTACAGTGCAGCCCTTGTTGCTGGAAAGAGCCTGGAGGTTCACATTTCCCAGTAACCAACTGGCGTGCTGCAACTGTCTGAGTACCCACATATGGAAAATGTTGTAAACAGGCCTCTGGTGGATATCCAGGCCCGTCTTCAGTTAGGGCGGGCACAATGCTTGCTGGGGCCCCACAGCCTAGAACACTTGCATGTCTGTCGGGGCCCTGTGAGGGCTCAGTCCTCGCACAAGTATCAGGGACCCCAGAAAATAACTCGCCTTCGATAGTCCGGCAATCTGGGCCATATATCTTGGGGCGGACATTTTAAAACTGCCTAGTTTTAGGGGCATCGGTGTTGCATTTTTTCAGGGGCATCTGACAAATTTCCATTAAAAGGACTCCTGCTACTTGCCTATGCATTATAAGACATCCTCTCGAACATGGGCTGCAGTTTCCAGGCACAGCAGACAATTCTGGCAGGTTTTCTCCAGTCAATCCACTCCAGTTATCAGTCTAAGTCCCTTCTTCCTGGTCCTTCTCTCAAGGTTTTTCCAAAAGACCTGCTCAGTCCATCCCCTGTAATCCAGGGTAATCAATGCTGGCAGGTCATTTTCTCCGATTTTTTCTGATCAAACCTGTACATGGGATGCTGGACCCGTTTTCCAGCAGGTGATGCTCCCCACCAATAGATGGAGCCTCTCCCTGGGTGGTAGTGGTGTCTGCTCTTATCAGCACCACTAACACCGGTATTGTGTGCAATTTTTGAGATGGGATGAAGATTTCTAGCCGTCACAACATCCATCTCCAAGCCACTTGCAATTCGGATGAAGTCTCCTTGAAGCTTCCTTGACAAGCAGTTTGCTTAGATATGCAAGTCTTTGGCTGTGAACCATTAACGGATGCGCTGACACTGGTAACCTCCCATGCCCTCCTCTTTCTATGCTTCTCCCGACCCTCTCCCCACCCTTTTCTATGCTCCTCCCGACCCTCGTCGAATCTTTTCTATGCTCCTCCCGACCCTCTCCCCACCCTTTTCTATGCTCCTCCCGACCCTCGTCGAATCCTTTCTATGCTCCTCCCGACCCTCTCCCCACCCTTTTCTATGCTCCTCCCGATCCTCGTCGAATCCTTTCTATGCTCCTCCCAACCCTCTCCTGACCCTCTACGAACACATTCTGTGCTCCTCCCGACCGTCTCCCTCTCCGCACCCTCTCCCTATCCTTTCCCAAATCTTTCTATGCTCCTCCCGACCCTCTCGCTATAATCGGTAGCAAAGATTTATGGTTCTCTATGGAACTGTGGTTGGCGGAACAGACTTAAGTTGCATTTGTTAATTTTCTTTATGGAGCACCTCTGATTAGCTCCGAACATGTGGTGTTCTATGCATGTGTGTGTCTGCATGTGAGAGAGAGAGAGAGAGAGAGAGAGAGAGAGAGAGAGAGAGAGAGAGAGAGAGAGA